AAACAAAGAGTTTGGCCCTAATGGAATTGCTCTGGGTGTTTAAATTGGGCCATGAATGAATACATGTAAATTAACTCTTGTCAGCTTTCAGAGCAATCACCTTGACATTGTTAGAGACAATATGACTCATGCCTATTTTCCCAGAATAACCTGAAACTCTAAAGCATTATACAATTTGTCTATTCCTGTTAAGCTGTTGTAGTGTTCATTTTTTTTTAAAAAAAGTTTCTGCACTGTACACATACTTATATGGATCCAAAACATTCAGGTTTCATCAACCTGTGTTTAAAACTTGCCATAAACAAAAAATTACCTGAGATCTTTCAGTTTCGAATTATTCAGTTTGGTGATATACTCTTTAGTTTCATGTGCTGCCAGACGATGTGGCAAAGGCTGGTACATGAGAATTCTGTCCACTGCACCATCCTGCCTTTCCTTTAGTTTGACATAAATTGGAAAGAAGCGGTTGGGTTGACTGTAGCCACTCACTGACACTCCTGGACTGTCAATGACTTGACGTGCTGACTTGTCTGCCCGTGTATATACCCATGTACTTCCATCATATAACTGGATCATCCGTTCCATGTCTATGCGGCTCTTTTCCCTGGAAGCACCAAGTAGCTGGTCAAAAAACTGTGATACCTCTTCCTTGCCAATGATAGCTTTATGGCCAGGTGTTGACTTCAATTGACGAAATAGCCCAGCTTCAGTAAATTCGTCAACAAATAAAGGGTTATCCTCCTTTGCCTCTACATGCAACCTTATGGGCTGTGCACAGCCATGGTGAAAGGCAGGTGACTTTCCTGCCCCTGGGTCACACAAGCAGATCATGTAGAGGTTGATACTTTCTGTGCGCATTCTACAGTCAACCTTGACTGTTGAGGGCCCCATCAAGCATGCCACAGTTGGCAGGACACTTGCCAGCAGAATGTCCCTTGTAGTGTTGTTGGCCTTACTAAATGTATCCAACCATTCACTTATTAACGCTGGGCAAATTTCCTCCCACGGAATGCTAACTTCTTTCCCTTGTTTCCTGACGGAAGGTGCTTCAGCTGATGTTCGGGACCGCTTGGCTGATGACGGAAATGCTGAAGCCATATCTGAAACAACAGAAAGAATCAGGTCATCTCGAGTAAATCAATCGCTTCGCTCACAATTTAAAATTTATAACCTTGGGTTAAACCAGATACTATTTTGACTGATAAATATATCACCATTAGTATATGTGCTTGGATATCCTCTTGAAGCTAGGATGGGGATGAAATTAATTTGGTAGTGAGGGGCCGGGAACAGTGAAGTTCTGAGGCCCTTTTAGGGTAAATTTCGATGGGCAACATGGCGTTGAAACAGCGACATCAGAGAAATGAAATGCCGTCAAGCGACTAGGTTATGCCGCGATCCTGCAACACCGACTGGAAAAAGTAAGAAAGGGTCACCTGTGTGTGTAGTGCCTATTATAAACCTGTATATGCAACAGAAAGTATACACGAACCTAAATTCTTCAGTGCCTAAGCGCTTGAGCAAGCTAAATCATCAGACTCGCTTTTCGAGAGATTATCACAGTACGTACACCTTTGTTAAACTTTTATTCATCCTACGACACCTTGCATCGATCTCGCCCGCACTTCCTAACCTTTGGTTATTACTAGTTTAGATTTTAAATTGTATCATCGCATTGTTTTGCACTGGGAAGAGCCCAAGAAACGCTGCTTTCGCTCCAGACACCGGCTCTCGCGAAAAATTTCCTACACATAATTAAAAAAAACACCAACTATCATTCGGTTCAATTAATTTTCATCTTATTACTAAGATACCTTTTGCTGCATTCTGACGAAGATCCTACAATAGTCCAAGTAAGCGGCAGAATCTCTATGAAAACCGTCTCTTGATAGAGCAGCCATTTTGATTCTTTAAAAGCTTCATGGAACAACCGCTGTTCGAAGTGCTTGTGGTATTGAAATGGGGCGTTCCCTCGTAACAAGGGGGCGCTTTTCAGCGGTCAAATGGTATGATAAATTTCCTGGCAAAAATCGAGAAATATTTGAATTTCCGAAAAGCGAACCATTCAAACGGAAATTCCGAGAAGAAAATCAAATCGAACGGAAATCCAGGAAAACGTTTACGAGTAACTCAAAAGGTTGTCCTAAAATAAATTCGTACGTTTGCAATTTTCTATTCCGAGAGTTGTAAATCTCCCCCTTTTGATAAACACTAGCGACAGCTAAATTTGTCAAGAGAGCGTTTAATGCATAGGTTGGCTACGAAATGTAAATTCGACATGAACAGCCAGAAAAAAAGAAAGCAATTCTGCCAGAATTCTTCGTGGTAACACTTTTGATATCCTTCTTGTCTCGGTTTTGCCGGGGTTTTGTGGATGAAAACCGCAGCTAAAAGCCGGCTCGGGGGAAAATTACGTAGAGCTCACCACATGGTGTGATGTTCTTGTTCACAGATTTTGTTCTCAAGTACGTCTGTAACTTTCCGGACAAATTTTCCGTCACTAGCCGATTTCACGTTTGGATTAGTCTAGGACAAATCTGAAATTGCCCTCCAGTGACGTGCTTCGATCGTTTTCACTGTAGGTTAGAGATTTTTCAAAGTTCCTTTCCAACAATTCCTGGCAGAAGGCCGCACTGAATGTGATTCATTGTTTATATGTGAGACTACTCCCGGACTACTAGAAGCTCGGTAGAATATCACGGGTTCATACAAACATTCCTGATATCAACAGAAAGAATCACGCAGACTTGATTCTCGATCGTCAACTGAAATTAACACGCGTTTTCATGACGCAGAAGTCCAAGACTTACGATCGACTTTATCGAAAATGCAATACCGAACTTAGCTTGCTAAATGCTAAAACCAGAGAAATAAATACAAATCAGACGTACCTGTGTAATCTTGCCTTCTTTCTTGATTTCCCTTCGTCAATAGTTGCTGTTACGTGATTTGTGTTGAAGACAAAAGCACAGAAACGTTGGAATATGTCGACAGATTTTGCCTGGCGTCTGATCTGAGCGGTCGATACAGGATCAACTGATGCAATGGATTCACTCGTGGCTTTATGTTGGGAAGGTGATAAAAAAGATCACACCTGTTGATTCACGGTATATTTCACACCTCTACAGCTGCCTCTATAAACACCAACCCATGTCTTTTCACGATATTGTGATTTTCAATGGCAGTACATACAAATGATTGTTTATTATTTTTTTGAAATACTGTATGACTGCGAAGTAACTTTCTAAAATGCCAGATTTCCTAAAGAATGGACACCGTAGTAATTTTAAAAATTCGTTATTGTAGGGGGGATTTTGGGAAAAAAGCGTCAACTTACATAAAGCCGATAGTGGTGCTATCATCTGATCGGTCGCATCAAAAGGAGCATTAAATCACCGGAAATAAACCGAAAGAATGTAGTAAAACGGACGAATGAACGGTCAAGTTAATTTATGGGTTGCACTCCTGTTACAAAGTGCTGGATTTTTTACTACTTTTAGTATACTTTGCGTTTACAATCCTTTCAAGAACCACTTTCTTTCGAGTTGAGGAATTTTTGTAAAAAAATCGTAAGAACGTAAAAGACGTACAGCTTGTTCGAAGCTTGTGTGAGACACGCGGTTTATCGCAGCCTGTGAACATCCGGAGGAGGCGGGTGTTCACAGGCTAGGTTTATCGTTAAAAGTAAAACAATAGCGAAATCACAGCGGTAATTGTCTGCAGAAAAAGAAATATACCACGTCAGCACTTTACGAAGAAAGTGGTTTTTGTATTTCGAGGTAGTCCACAATGACTGTTCACATTAGTATTACCGCTTATATTTGATTTAAATGCAAAACAAAGTATGTTATTGTTACCTGAATAAATATCATTTTCTCCAGCCTTTTGTTTCTGAACGCCACAAGTAAAACAGCTTTCTTGATCTTCGCACCTTATTTCAACTAATTAATTTAGAGTGGATTTATTTGTGGCTTCTGCTTGTGAATATTGCTTTGTTTTTTAACCCCTACCTCCCCTCCCCGCCCCCGCAAAAGAAATTCAAAATTCGCACATGCCAAAGCGACATCAAAATGTATTGTCTGCAAATGAATCCACTCGTAAACAATATAGACATCCTAATTTAAGTTCAGGCCGGGGACAGAACTTTTCTTTTACGGACACATAAGTACGGTCGCGTACTCGGACAAGACCACTGTAGTGATGTTTATTTGCCTTATGGTTCTAACAGTTACGTAGTAGAGGTAAGGCGAGGAACTTTCACAGCTTTTAGTGTTTTTTTGACACATACTCATTTAGAATGCCCCTGACAATTGTTTACACTTACTTTCAGAAAGTTTTAAGAGCATTGCGAGAACCGAAAATTACAAACTGGAAGCAAAAGAAATAGGTATAGTCTTTTTATTATTATTTGTTGTCCTCAACTTTGAAATAAGACAACGAGTAGTCCCTTTTCATGCCTTTTTCGCTTTGTCCGTCAAGCGTGATGCAAGATAAAAGCACGAGAAAATAATGGCCGAGCGAAATCTTGGCACGCTTTTCTCTCGCGTACGCTCGACGGACTAAGCGAAAAGAGGAAGTAGTCCTAATCTACTTTGAAATCGAGTCTATGTCATTGATTAGGATCGAGGAGGCTTTTTAACTAAAACCTTATGGTTTTAACAAATTGTTAGTGCGGATTAACTGATTCAGAATGACTAGAAATTACTGAAAGATTGCTATCCGCATTTTCGAGTCCTGGGAAACGTGACATAGTGAAGTGATAATATTCTTGACAAAGACATTAATATATTTTGGAACACGTCGGAGTGAATTCCCCTACCACATCGGTTAACTAACCGTATTTACTCGAATAAGCGCCGCGGTGCTTATTAATTTTTTTCCTCCTCAAATGGGGCGCTTATTCGAGGGTGGCGCTTATTTGAGGGCGGCCCTTGTTTATAAAAGTTGGACACGACAAAGAAATCTTTCCTTTTAAGTCAAGGGAATATTTCTATGTTTTTGAAAAATTTAACGGTTATTAACAGAAGCGCCTCTTGATTGTCCCAGTTCGTCTCTTCTGGCACTTTTTATTGCTTTACCTGTGGTGTCTTCACTCAACTTCGATCTCACTATCCCCTGATGCTGTTTTGGAGTTGCATTCTAGCGTTTTGGTAGTTCTACGGAGATTCTCGAATAAGCGCCGCATTCCCGACGCGGCGCTTATTCGAGGGCGGCGCAAATTAACTTTTTTGACCCAAATACGGCGCTTAAGGACGTTCGCGCGAAAATCTTCCCACGGTCAGATTTTTTAATAACTTTTACAGCAGTTAGGTAACGACCAACTCAGGTCAGAGAGGCAAAAAAATTCGGGGGTCACCGAGCTCATTTTCGAGATAACCGGTACGAAAGACCGCAATATTTATAGAAGTTTTGACAGTTGTTTCGATTTGGCTTAGGCTGCTTCAAGTGTTAAAAAAAGGAAAATAAACTGATGTAGCAAGCATTTTTGGTTTCGTAATTGACTTGAACAAGCCTACTAAGTAAATACTTGTCACTGGTGTCAATCCATTTGGTTAAAAGTAACATTCAGGAGGGAAAATTGCTTGTCATACCCAGTCGCGAAGGGCGTAAATTTGCCCCTTTTTGACGTGCCATTGCGACATGCATTACGTGCGCAGTAGTGTGCGCAAAAACAATTAGCACGAACGTTCTTAATCGAGGGCGGCGCTTATTCGAGTAAATGTGGTATTCAGCGATTGCATCAATCGTAGCGATCCTTCCGTAAGCGATCGATATGACTGCTGAGATGGTCTTCACTCCAATCTAGTCTACCGTCGCGATCATGTGGGGCATATGGAAACCGGTCGGTCAACGCGAGGATCGTTCAACTTTACATGTAACTTTCTGTTGCGATCGCAGCGATCGTGGCTAATGTAGGGATCTCAGCAATCATATGGATACCATCCTGTTTCCTTGTGATCACTACGGTCGCTACGATCTCTGCGATCGCTACCATCGTTGCAATCACCGATATAGACCTGAAATCTATTACTAAGAGCGATCGTTGATGGAAGCATCTTTTGCTCTTTTTAGCTTGAAATTGATCTTATATGTTTTTAACCCTCTGACCATTGGCCATCGTCTGTGGCAAATTGTCTCTTGTCTGTAGTATACCTTCAATCAGGACGCATACCAAACA